GATATCTGAATAGTTCTATAACTGGTACTCTATTGCTATATAACAAATTACAACAAAATTAGCAACTTAAAAACACACTTATTATCTCGTGATTTCTGTGGGTTAGGAGTCTGGGTGCATCTTAGCTGGGTGCTCTGTTTCATGATCTCTCAGAAGGCTGCAATTGTTGGCCAGGGCTAGGGTCTCATCTGAAGGCTCAACTAGAGAAGGATATATATCCAAGTTCACATGGTGGTTGGCAGAATCCAGTTCCTCAGGGGTTGTTGGACTGTGGGCCTCAGTTCCTAGCTGGCTGTTGGCCTAAGGCCACCATCTGTCTCTTGCCACATGGGCCTCTCCAACACAGCCACTTGCTTCATCAAAGGGTGCAAGCCAAGAAGGCAATAGGGAGAGGCTGCTAGCAAGACAAATGTTACAATTTTGCATAACCTAATCATGGCGATGACATTCCATCACCTTTGCCGTATTCTATTGATGAGAAGCAAGTCACATGTCCTGCCCACATTCATAGGGAAGAGATTACACAAAGGCTTGATACCAAGAGGCAGAGATCATTAGGGGCCATCTTAGAGTCTGCTCCCCACATGAATAAGGGCATTGAATCAGCAGTCAGGTATCTTCCCAGAAGAAAACTCCAGGCATCCCTGGTAAGATCTGCCAAGTATTAAAGTAACAATTCCAATTTTACATACATCTTTGTCCTCATTTCCAATTATTCCCCTAGAATAGGGAAATTAATGAGGCAAGTCTCTTGGTAAATGCTGCTGAATTTTTTTCCAGGAATGTTGTACTAATTTGCATTCTTACTATTTTTCTTTTTTTTTTAAGATTTTATTTTTCCTTTTTCTTCCCAAAGCCCCCTACTATATAGTTGTGTATTTTTAGTTGTGGGTCCTTCTAGTTGTGGCATGTGGGACATCGCCTCAGCATGGCTTGATGAGTGGTGCCGTGTCTGCGCCCAGGATTCGAACCGGCAAAACCCTGGGCTGCTGAAGTGGAGTGTGCGAACTTAACCACTCGGCCATGGGGCCAGGCCCAATCTTACTATTTTTCTATATCTAATTTTTTCTAATATCTTATAATGAGAAATTTCAAACATACAGAAAAATCGAAGAAACTATACTATGAATAAACTCACCACCTAGATTCTACAGTTGTTAACATTTTGCTGTATTTGCTTTATTATATATCTATCCCTCTATATATCCATCAATGCATCTTATTTTATTTATTTTAATTATGGTAGAATATACACGAGATAAATTTTACCATTTTAACTACTTTTAAGTGTACAGTTCTGTGGCATTAAGTACATTCACATTATTGTGCAACCATCACCACCATCCATCTCCGGAACTTTTAATCTTGCAAAACTGCAACTCTACCCATTAAACACTAACTCCTCATTCCCCTCCCTCTGGCCTCTGAGAACTACCCTTCCACTTTCTGTCTCTATGAATTTGACTACCCTAAGTACCTCATATGAGTGGAATCATAGAGGTTTTTGCCCTTTTGTGACTGGCTTATTTCTCTTACCATAATGTCCTCAAGCTTCATCCATATTATAGCATGTGTCAGAATTTCCTTCCTTTTAAGGCTAAATAATATTTTATTGTGTGTATATACTGTGTTTTGTTTATCCATTCACCTGTTAATGGACGCTTGGATTACTTCCACTTTTTGCCTATTGTGAATAACAATGCATCTTATTTTTAATGCATTTAAAAGTAATTTTCAGATATCAGTACAGTTCATTCCTAAACGTTTCAGCATAAATAGCAATGACTAGAGTTCCATATTTGTTTGCTTTTTTTTTTTTTTTGAGGAAGATTAGCCCTGAGCTAACATCTGCTGCCAATCCTGGCCCTGAGCTAACATCCATGCCCATCTTCCTCTACTTTATATGTGGGACGCCTGCCACAGCATGGCCTGACAAGCAGTGCATAGGTCCACACCCAGGATCCAAACCAGTGAACCCAGGCCACTGAAGCGGAAAGTGCAAACTTAACCGCTGCTTCACCGGGATGGCCCCTCTTTTTTTCTTTTGAGATAAAATTTAGACACAGTGAAATGTACAGATCTTAAGCGTACTATTAGACGAATTTTGGCAAATGCATCTAACCGTGTTAGCCAGACCCTCATCAATATATAGAACATTTCCAGGGGGCCAGCCCCATGGCCGAGTGGTTAAGTTCATGTGCTCCACTCTGGTGGCCCAGGGTTTCCCCAGTTCGGATCCTGGGCATGGACATGGCACTACTCATCAGGCCATGCTGAGGCGGCATCCCACATGGCACAGCTAGAAGGACCTGCAACTAAAATATACAACTATGTACTTGGGGGGGTGCGGTTTGGGGAGAAAAAGCAGGAAAAAAAAAAGATTGGCAACAGTTGTTAGCTCAGGTGCCAATCTTAAAAAAAAGAGAACATTTCTATCACCCCTGAAAATTCTTTCATGCTCCTTTCTGGTCAATTCTTAGCCACCTTAGTCCCCAATCCTGAGGGAGCCACTGTTACAGTGTTTTTTTAACCGAAGATTGGTTTTGCCTGTTCTAGAACTTCATATAAATGGAATCATACAATACGTGCTCTTTTGTATCTGTCTTCTTTTGCTCAGCCTAATGTTTTTGAGATTCATCCATGTTGCAGCACCCATCACTAGTCCCATCTATTTTATTGATGAGTAGTATTCTCTTGTATGAATACGATAGAATCCATTGTCCAGTTGATAACACTTGGGCTGTTTGCAATTTTGGGCTGTTGTGAGTAAAGCTGCTTTGACTATTGTTGTCCAAATCTTTTTGTGGGCACATATTTTCATTTCTCTTTGGTAAATACCTACAGTGGACTTGCTGGTCATGGATATGTAAATATTTAGGTTTTTTTTTTTTTTTTTTGAGGAAGATTAGCCCTGAGCTAACTGCTGCCAATCCTCCTCTTTTTGCTGAGGAAGACTGGCCCTGAGCTAACATCCATGCCCATCTTCCTCTACTTTATATGTGGGACGCCTACCACAGCATGGCTTGCCAAGCGGTGCCATGTCTGCACCCGGGATCCCAACCGGCGAACACCAGGCCGCCAAGAAGCAGAACGTGCGAACTTAACCGCTGTGCCACTGGGCCGGCCCCAATATTTAGTTTTATAAGAAACTGCCAGACCTTTCCCCAAAGTGGCTGAGCCATTTTATCCTCCCACCAACAATATAGAGCATTCCAGGTGCTCCACATCCTGGACAACTCTTGGTGTTGGCGGTCTTTTCATTTTCAGCCATTCTGATGGGTTGTGCGGTGGCATCTCACTGTGGCTTTGATTTACATTTCCTTGACGACTAATGATGTTGAACATGTTGTCTTATGCTTATTGGCCATGTGCTTATCTTTCTTTGTGAAATATCTATTCAAATCTTTGGCCCATTTTAAAATTGGGTATTGGTTTTTTTATTATTGAGGTTTAGAAGTTCTTTATATGTTCTAGAAACAAGTCATTTGTCAAGATGTATGCTTTGTGAATATTTTTTTCCACTCTGTAACTTGTCTATTCGTTTTCTTTCCTTTTTTTCCCTTCTTCTCCCCAAAGCCCCCCATAATAGTTGTATATTCTAGTTGTAGGTCCTTCTAGTTCTGCTATGTGGGATGCCACCTCAGCATGTCTTGATGAGCAATGTTAGGTCCACGCTCAGGAACTGAACTGGCGAAACTCTGGGCCACCGAAGCAGAGTGCACCATCTTAACCACTTGGCCACAGGGCCAGTCCCATATGCGTTTTCTTAATGATGACTTTTGACGAGCAGAAATTTTGAATTGTAATGAAATCTAAGTTATTATTTTTTAATAGTTATTGCTTTCTGTGTCCAATCTAAGAAACCTTTGCCTACTTCCAGGTTGCAAAGCTTTTCTCCTATGTTTTCTTCTAGAAGCTTTGTGGTTTTAGTTCTACATTTAATTTTGACACCTCATAAGAGTTAGACACTTTTGGGGCCGGCCGGATAGTGCAGCAGTTAAGTTCGCACGTTCCGCTTCAGCGACCTGGGGTTCACCGGTTCAGATCCCGGGTGCAGACATATGCACTGCTTGTCAAGCTATGCTGTGGCAGGCATCCCACATATAAAAAAGTAGAGGAAGATGGGCATGGATGTTAGCTCAATCCTCAGCAAAAAGAGGAGGATTGGCAACAGATGTTAGCTCAGGGCTAATCTTCCTCAAAAAAAAAGAAGAAAAGAAAAGAAAGAGTTGGATACTTTTCCTCCCTATATAGGGGAGGAAATTGAGGTCACAGAAAGGCTAAGTAACTTGCATGTAGGAACCCACTCTCTCACACACATGCACACACACACACACACACACACACATGCTTAGTAAGTAATTATACTGGGACTGGAACTCAGGAGGTCAGATGTCAGACCCAAATTCTGGCACATCACTAAGTACCACTTCTGAAAGGTGCTGTGAGAGAAGGAGGAAACCAGATCAAACTATGCTCTAGGGCCAGTGGCCCCTGTCCTTCCCTACAGAAAGAGAGAGCTGGGCACCAGGGGCTGGAGAAGGACAGAGGAGAGCCTGGAAAGACACGGGGTCACAGGTTACTCTAGGAGGAGCTGGACTGGTCTGGCCAGGCTCCCTCTCCCTGTTCCGCTCTAGCCCCCACCATCCTCCGCACACCCCCCACGGGGCTTCCGATCCTGTGGTCCTCTAAGGGCAGTATTTCTCTCTGGCACTCACTATTTCACAGTCATTTGCCTTCAGACAGCACCTCAGCCGGAGGATTCATTCACCACTCAAACCTTTATTCTTGAACAATCGCAACCAGTGAGTGTATGCTGGCCCATGCAGCGTGAAACGCCTCCGTTTACTCTCTCCCCTGGGCCTGGAGGAACAAGGAGCCCTCCCAGATGATCCCACTATACCCGGGCATCTCCAGAGTCCTCCTTGACTCTGCTTTATAGCAGCCTCCATTTCCTTTTGATGGTCAAGGTCAACACCCCAGCCAACACGATAACTCACCTTATTAACTGTTTTCTCAGTGGCCAGTGACAGTCTCGGCTTCCACTTCAGAGGAGTCATTTTAGCATCTCTTGCAAGACCCAGTTCTCCCCTGAGTACTAAGTATGTACCACTCCAACATCCCGGCGCTGGCTCCCACACCCACATATTTGACTCCAGGAGAACTAGCATCACAGGTTGTTACTGGTTCAGAGCATACTCCATAATCTGCAGACCAGTGGGTCTCACGAGGTGGTGTCTCTCAGCTCACACCGTAACTGGGCCTGCAATAGGGCATTCCACCATGCTTTAAGGCCACCTAGTCCTGGGCGATGGGTACAAGGAAAGACAGGTAAATCCCATGGGCACTGGCCTATTGGTGTATGTCTTCAGTCTTCACAGAAACATGAGCTTCTCGGTGGGAGGCAATGCTGTGTTCGACTGCGTCATTCAGTCAGTTTATGAATGGAGGTGCAGAGGGAGGCAGACAGAGGATGAGAAAGCAAATTCAACTTCACAATAAGGATCTATTGCAGGCGGACAAACTGCTGCCCCTCCCTTGGTTAGGTTCTTGACCAGCTGTGGCTTATGGCGGACTCTCGGAACCCAAGGCATTGCCATGTAACAATTTGTCCTCCTCTTGGGAAGCAGATGGAATTAACAAACTGTGACTATTAAGCAAGTTATACCAGAAGATAAATTATACATATTGCAACAAGGAGAAAGAGAACATGTGATGTTTGCAAAATTCTTACGGGAATTTGTCCTTGTCCTGGAAAAAAAAGTGCTGGCTTGCTGTTTAACATTTCTATTAAAAAGTTGAAGCTTTTTATGCTTCAAATAAAGCAAGAATGCTGGGTTTTCACCTCAGGTGCTACCTCAAATGAGTAGGAGTCGACCTACTTATGACCGATTCTGTCCCCAGGGAATAACGCGGAATGTTGCTTGGCATTATCTTAGATCAGGATGATGGGACAGGGAGAAGCCCATGAATGGTCTGTATCTCTTCTCCTAAAATGTAAGTCTCATTGCAATTAGAAGTGTCAAAAGTAATACCCCACCGAAGCGGAGATATCTTCTTGAATTTTGTCTAGGTCCTAAAAACAGAGAAGGGAAGATGATGACATCCACAGGTGTCCCCTGATTGTTACGAGCCTCCTTTCAAGGGGTGCCCTTTGGCGGACAATCACAAGCATTCTCTCGCAATCTGGACACATGCTGAGAGTCCCATCACACAGCACTTCGTTGTCACCAATCCTCCAGTCTGCCCCCTTCCAAGCCCCTGCCCGCCTGGTGAGACCACCAGCCGCTGCCCAGAGCTGACATAAAGCCTGACCTCAGGCTGCCTCTCCTTGCACGCAAAGTGAACAACAAAATGTAGTGCTGGAAGCCCTGGAAAGGTTTCTCGTCACTGTGGCTGCTGGCGACAGGCAGCACGGCCGCAGCAATCGATTTCTGGCTGGGGCTGGCTGCTTGTGAGACCATCTGTTAACAGGCTGTGGGGAGAGCTCAGAATCGTCTGAGAAATGACCTCGAAGGCTCATCCTGGGTTGCCTGGCAACTAGCAAGCCAGACCGATGGCTCTCTGTCCCTGAAGGAGAGGCTGTGCCTGAACTCAACCTCCCACGGGATGAGGGTGAGGTGGAGGCACAGGGGCCAAGGCTGCAGGCCAGCACTTTCCCAAACAGCTGACGTTCAAGTTTAGACTGCTTAGCATTCCTTCGCCTCACTGCACCACCCCCAAGGTCATTCTCATACTCGCCTATGAAAAGGGAGAACATGGCGGAGACCAGGGTCCCTCTGCCCCATGGTGCCTCCAGCCTCTGTCAGGGCCCTGGGGCCTGCTGGAACTCTGCCTGTGAGTTCCAGTGTCCACGAGTGTTGCTGTGAGTGTCCCCCGAGCTCTTTGCATGGCACAGTTTTCAATCATTGTGCAACTGGTCCCAGGGACCTGAGTCTGAGGTGTGGGTGGAGGGAGGGGCAGCTAGAAGCCGAGAAGGGACTCTGGGGAATGAGCTGCCTGCTCAGCAGCTCGCCTGGGCTTCAGGACGTGTTTGGGCCCATCCCTCTCCCACGAGTGCCTTCTCTCCTTGACGACAGATGCTGCTGGGCACACCTGACTTTGTAGCAAGGTCAGATAGCATTCAGCTCGCATCACATGGTCCCCAGGTGCCTCACGTCAGGCTTTCAGTCTCCCCCGGGGCCCACCAGCTCATGAAAGGCCTGAGCCATTTCTCAAAAGGAAAATAGTAGCTTGCAGAAGGGGGCACAGCTTTGCACTAATATCCTGGCTCCTGAGCTGAGATTTGCCTCCTGGGGCACAAGCCCAGGCTCCATAAGGGAAGCTCGACATGTTACAGACACTCGGGGCCTCAGATGATTTCAGCTTTGGAGCAACTGCCATGTGTGAGGGCAGGGGTGTGGAGGCAGCTGATCCTCTAGGCCACCCATGACCCCCAGTGACAGAGCCACCTCCTGGGAGAGGGCTGCACAGCACTTGCCTCGGGGGATGGCTATAGATTATCCAAGGCCCCAGACTCTCCACCTCTGCCCACAAACCCTCCTTGCCTCTTCAAAATCCCCTGTTATGTTAGGCTCTTGAGTTCTACCTAGCTTTCATTCAACCCAACGGATCAGAACAGATGCTTGATTTTTCTTAAGTCTTACAAGAGGAAATAGGATGACGTGCTGTGTTCTCAGACTTGAGTGTGCATCAGAACCCTCTGGGTGGGCAGCTTGCTTAGACTAGAACTGTCCAGGCCCCAACTCTGGAGAGTCTTTTTCTTTCTTTTTGGAGGAAGATTAGCCCTGAGCTAATATCTGCCGCCAATTCTCCTCTTTTTGCTGAGGAAGACTGGCCCTGAGCTAACATCTGTGCCCATCTTCCTCTATTTTATATGTGGGATGCCTACTACAGCATGGCTTGCCAAGCGGTGCCATGTCTGCACCTGGGAGCCAAACCCGCCAACCCTGGGCCACCGAAGTGGAACGTGTGCACTTAACCACTGTGCCACCGGGCTGGCCCCTGGAGAGTCTAAATCAGCAGAGCTGAGGTGGGACTCTGGAATATGCATTTTAAACAAGATCACTACCCATGATTCTGATTCAGGTGGTCTGCCATCTACACTGGTGGAGTGAGTGCCTCAGGATCAGGCAAGCCTGGGTCCAAATCCAAGTTCTGTCCCTGAATTAGTTTGGATTCATTTCAGCTATGAGTGATGGAAACCCAAAACAATAGGGGCCTAAACAAAATAGATGTTTATTTTTCTCATGTGAGTGTCCAGGAATGCAGTCCAGGCTGGTATGTTGGTACCACAATTGTTAGGGATTTGGACATTTCCTATCTTGTTGCTTCAAAATCCTCCACATTCAGCTTTTGCCTCATGGTCCAAAATGGCTGCTCCAGCTCCAGCCACCATTCCTAAATTTCATTTAGCAGGAAAGAGACAAAGGGGAGGAGAAAGGCACAATCTCTCCATTTGAGGGCAATTCCTGGAAGTTGCACATACCACTTCTACTTACATTCCATTGGCCACAACTTAGTTGTATGGTTAGATCTGCTGCAAAGGAGGTGGGAATACGTAGATATTTATTTAAGTGTTTGTAAATGATGACTGAAGACACAGAAAGAGTGTCCAAAGTAGCTGAAACAGAGGGGGAGGGTGGTGGAAGTGAAAAATAAAATCAGCTAATGTCAATTGTATACTTACTGAATACTGAATGCCACTCACTGTTCTAAGCACTTTATGTGAATTTAATCCTTCCAACAATCCTGTGAGGTAGGTCCTCCTAGTCCTTATTTGCCAGAGTGGGGTCACACACCCAGCCCTAAAGCACACAGATTGAAAGATTAGTCTTGCCCGCTTACTCCCTGCGTGACTCTGAGCAAGATCTTTGCTGACAACAGGAATAGGAAAACTATACTTAATGCAGACCAGACCAGACACAATTTACCCCCCAGACCTTGGTACATTGCCCCCAAAACCTTGACAAAGTCAGGCGTCTGCCAGCAAGGAAGACAGGGTTTGTGCTGCCCTGATGTCTATCAACCAGGTATCAGCAGGGTTGCTCCATGAGACTGAGGTAGGTTTCACTCAGACACTCAGACTCCATCCTGCGCCCTGGGAGCCTGGGCTTCTGGCTCTGGCTTCTTGCTTCTGCAGAATTCATATGTCTGTGGGTGTTTGGAGCCTGGAGGTGCAATTGCTGGGCTCTCGCACCTCGGGCGGTCTACTATTGGCACAGTGCGGGGCACAAGGTAGGTGCTCAATAAATGATCGTTGAATAGTAATGAGAATAACCATCACTTAATAAGTGCTTACCATGTGCCAGGCACCGTGCTAAGAACTTTACATATATTACGCCATTTGACGCTGACAACTGCCAAGATCTTTACTTTAGCGATGAAGAAACCGAGACTCACAGAGGGAAGGTAATTGCCAAAGGTCTCACACCTGGTAAGTGGCAGAACTGGGATTTGAAGCCACAAATATTTAACCACAATGCTCAGATGTCTACAGCCCTCAAATAGCCACCCTTTTCCACCCCCTCGTACCATGAAAGTCCCAGGAGCCTGGGGTCCAGGCTGATGGTTCTGCGGACCAACACATGCAAGAAGAGTGAGTTTTCGTCTGGGCCTTCCAAGGATTCAGACACTTCTGGATACCCCTGTCCAGTCTCCTCTATTTCCCCCCAGTCTCCCAACCCCTCACCCGAGAGCTCCCGCCTGGCACAGAATGGAGGCTGTTTTCACTGTGGAGGGAGTGAGGCAAGGACAGGCCTTTCATCCACAGGGCACTTGGAAACAACTTCCAGAAAAGCAGCATAGCACATAGTGGAGAGGCTGGACTCTCGCCTGCCGCTCCTCAGCTTCACGACCTTGGCCAAGCTGGTGAGGAGGATTAAACGAGTTCATACATGTCACATAAAGCACTCAAAGTGGCAGGCGTGCTGTCAACAGTCTCCAAGTGTGAGCTATCGTTATGACTATTTCAGCTAAAGCTGGTACCAGCAGAAGCCAGCCACCCCGGAGAGGGCTGAGGACCGGCCCCTCTTCTTTCTTTTTATACGTAATACAATTGGCTTTTAAATAACAAGTGATGCATGGTGAACTGGTAGAAAACATAAAAATTCGATTAAAAAAAACCACCTACAATCCTACTCTCCAAAGATCACCTTTCCATTCTTCTGTGTAACTAATATCATAGTGATCTGATGCTGTTTGTTTTTCCCCAGAGGGTGAAGGGGATTTGTGGTTCTCCCACGCCCGTCAGCATCTGAGTCACCCTGGTCCCAGTCACTCAAGCCTCTGGGTTTGCTCATGGGGGTGATGTCTCAGAGACAAGTGAGAGAGGCTGAAGAACCGGCTGGGCAAGTGCGTCTGGCTTGTCCCCAACCACCCAGAGGATTTTATGAGCGAAGCATTTCAGTGACTTTTAAGAGGCAAGTCAGAGCTGCCACTTCGTGCTGAAAACCTTTCAACAGTTACCCACCCCCTGCTCTCAGGAAAAGGCCACGGTCTCCAGCGTGGCCTTCGAGGCCCGTCCCCAGCTGCCTGGGTCTGAATCCTGGCCTCCAAATATTAGTTGTGTGACTTTGGGCAAGTTATATAAACCTCTCTGTGCCTCAGTTTCCTTATCTATAAAATGGGAATAACAGAACATACCTCATAGAACTGTTAGGAGGGTGAAATATGCTAAGTGTTTAGAACGGCACCCGGCGTAGGGAAAGCCCTTGGTCCATGTTAGCAGCCGTTACTAGAATTATTTTGTCCCATTCTTCCCTGTGCCCTCCACTCTAGGACACAGCCCCCAGCGGCCTGACTGTGGAGCCCTCACTTTTAACCCCTCTGCTACACGACCTCTGATAGTGTCCAAAGGTGAGAGGACAGCACAAGACTTAGCTGTCTTTTTTGTTTTATGAGGGGGAGGGGGGATCTTTCCAGAACCCCCTTCAGTCTCATTGATCAGAACAGGGGCCCAAACCCGTCCCTAAAAGACTGACTGGCAGAGAGGAATGGGAACGCCCTAGTTAAACAACATTTGAACAAAATCAGGTCTCTGTTACCATGGACTAGGGCCTCTCACACTCCAGGCGCATCAGAATCACCAGGAGAGTTTGTTAGAACACAGATTTGTGGGCCCCACCCCAGGCTGGATTAGGTAGGTCTGTGATGGGGTCAAGAACTGCATTCTCCTAGGTTTCCAGATGCTGCTGATGCTGCGGGTCCAGGGACCACACTGAGAATCCTGGCACGGAAGAGGGATAACTGTCTGCCCCAAAGATGCAACCCAGTCTCCAAGTGCGGTCTCTGCCCCCGGAGATTGAGACGGGCTGTGTGCAAACCCCAGCTGTGACCCCAGCTATGCAAAGACCTCCTGGAGATTTCTGCCGGTTCTCAGGGCTCATGTTCTCATGGCCACTGGCCTGCTTCTGCTGATTTCTTGCAGCTGTTGCCTTTATTTCTGCCCTGGAATGGACCCAAATGACGGACGAGGGATGGAGAATATTTTTCCTTGCTCCCAGAGCAACCGTGGGTACAGGCTGTTGTGTGAGTGGGACTTTTCCTAAAGACAGAACACACATCAGAAAGCAGCACAAGAGACGCTCCAGTTCTTAAAAGCCCTGAGGCCGTCCTTACACTGGGAGTTCTCACGTCTCCCAGCCAGCTCCATATCCTTCCCCCTTTCCTTTCACCTATACACCCCTCCTTCCTCACTGCCCTTGGGACAACCAGAACGATGCGGCTCTCTCCATGACCAGGTTCTAGTCCTGCCTGTGGCCAAGCCCTTGAACAGAGGGCCCAGGCAGGAGAGTCATGGAAATGCCCAGTGCAGACCTGTGCATGAGAATGACTGAGGCTGAGCCCCAAGCTGGGTGAGGCCATGCTTCTTATCCGAGCAAATCCTGAGGGCAGACAGGAGATAGCCAAGACCTGGGTGCTTCCAAACGTCCACATCCCTCAGAGATCGTGTGGGGGCACACAGGACCCTAGCGACACTCTGCCTCCTTGTGGGTTGGGGTGGGGACTGGGCTTCCATTCTTTTTTTTTTAAAGATTGGCACCTGAGCTAACAACTGTTGCAGATCTCCTTTTTTTTTTTCTTTCTGCTTTTTTCTCCCCAAATGCCCCCAGTACATAGTTGTATATTTTAGTTGTGGGTCCTTCTAGCTGTGGCATGTGGGACACCGCCTCAGCATGGCTTGATGAGCGGTGCCACGTCTGCACCCAGGATCCGAACCAGCAAATCCCTGGGCCCCCAGGCAGAGTGCGCGACCTTAACCACTCGGCGGCCACGGGCCGGCCCCTGGGCTTCCATTCTGAGCTATCCTGGTCCTGAGATGAGCCTAGGGACATTGGTCGGGGTGCTGGACCTTCTGCAAAAGCAGGGCAGGGGATCCCTCCCTCTTCTTCAGTTCTCAAAGTTGCTTACAACAGTGACTCCTTAGGAAAAAGGCATCATTGAGCCTTTCCAGCCTCAGAGGCAGAGACCCTGCTGGCCAGGTGGGGTAACACCTAGAGGCATCCAGAGCCACCAGTTTTGGGGACAGGGGCTTAGAAAACTCTAGGAGGACAGTATCTTTCTAACACAGTTTGATTTTACCTCCTCTGGTTCTGGAAAACTGATGGTGTCCAGCACCATGAACTTTGAGGGCGCTCAGATAGGCCCTGATT